TTGGTGAGCCTGGCTAGAGGTTCATCAATCTTGTTTATCCTTTCAAAGAACCAGCTCTTTGTTTCTTCATTGATCTTTTTTTTTTTTTTTTTTTTTTTTTTTTGTCTCTATTTCATTTATTTCTGCTCTGATCTTTATTACCTCCTTCCTTCTGCTCACTCTGGGCTTTTCTTGTTGCTCTCTTTCTAATTCTTTAAGTTGTAGAGTTAGATCATTTATTACCAGTTTTTCTTGTTTTTTGAGGTAAGCCTGTAATGCTTTGAACTTCCCTCTCAGGACTGCTTTGACTGTGTCCCATAGGTTTTGGATTGTTGTGTTTTCATTGTCATTCGTTTCCAGGATGTTTTTAATTTCTTCTTTAATCTCTTTGGTAACCCAGTCATTGTTTAATAGCATGCTGTTCAGCCTCCAAGTGTTTGAATTTTTTTGATTATTTTTATTGTAATTGATTTCTAATATTATGCCTTTGTGGTCTGAGAAGATGCTTGATATGAACTCAGTCTTCTTGAATTTGGAGAGACTTTGCCTGTGACCCAATATGTGGTCTGCATTTGAAAATGTGCCATGTGCACTTGAGAAGAATGTATATTCTGTAGCTTTGGGGTGAAATGTTCTGAAGATGTCAATTAAGTCCATCTGATCTAGTGAGTCATTTAGGATTGCTGTTTCTTTGCTGAATTTTTCTCTAGAGGATTTATCCAGTGATGTCAGTGGGGTATTAAAGTCCCCTGCTATGATCGTATTGCTGTCAATCTCTCCCTTGATATCTTCCAGAAGTTTTTTGAGTGCTCCTGCATTGGGTGCATATATGTTTACCAGAGTTCTATCCTCTTTTTTTTCTTTTTAATATATTTTATTGATTTTTTACAGAGAGGAAGGGAGAGGGATAGAGAGTCAGAAACATCGATGAGAGAGAAGCATCAATCAGCTGCCTCCTGCACATCCCCCACCGGGGATGTGCCTGCAACTAAGGTGCATGCCCTTGACCGGAATCGAACCTGGGACCCTTCAGTCCCCAGGCCAACACTCTATCCAGTGAGCCAAACCGGTCAGGGCCAGAGTTCTATCCTCTTGTTGTATCGATCCCTTTGGTATTATGAAGTGGCCTTCCTTATCTCTTGTTATGGCCTTCACTCTGTGGTCTATTTTGTCAGATATAAGTATTGCTGCTCCAGCTTCCTTTTCATTTCCATTTGCCTGAAAGATATTTTTCCATCTTTTCACTTTCAGTCTGTGTGAGTCTCTTGTTCTGAGGTGGGTCTCTTGTAAACGGCATATATATGGGTCATGTTTTCTTATCCATTCAGCCACTCGATGTCTTTTGATTGGAACATTTAGGCCATTTACGTTTAAAGTTAGTATTGATAGGTAGTTCTTTGTAGCTATTTTTATATTTTGTGCCTGTGTTCCTTCTTCCCTTTGTTTTTTTTCTTCTACAACAGCCCCTTTAGTATTTCTTGCATTGCTGGGTTGGTAGTGATAAACTCCCTTAGCATTGTCTGTGAAGCTCCTGCTTTCCCCTTCAATTTTGAATGATAGCCTTGCTGGATAGAGTATTCTTGGATTCAATCCCTTGCTTAGCATCACTTTGTACTAGTATACTTCCTTCCATTCCTTTCTGGCCTGATGTGTTACTGTTGAGAAATCATTTGATTATCTAATGGGAGATCCCTTGCAGGTAACTTCTGTCTCTCTCTTGCAGCCTTTAAGATTCTCTCTTTGTTATTAACATTTGCCATTGTAATTACGATGTGTCTTGGTGTGGGTCTTTTGGGGTACATCTTGTTTAGGACTCTGTGGTTGTGTGACTTTTTCTTCCCCAAATCAGGGAAGTTTTCAGACATTTCTTCAAATAGGTTTTTCTAATCCTTGCTTCTCTTCTTGTCATTCTTGCACCCCTATTATACATATGTTGCTTCATTTCACATTGTACCAAAGCTCCCTCAGGCTCTCCTCCTGTCTTTTGTTTTTTTCTCCAATTGCAGTTCAGATTGGGTGTGTTTTGCTGCCCTGTCTTCTAATTCGCTAATTTGGTCAACTCTGCTTCTCCTAGTCTACTGTTGAAAGCTTCCATATTGCTTTTTATTGTAGCTATATCATTCTTTATTTCCTCCTGATTCTTACATAGGTTGTTGATTTTCTCATCCATTCGGTTTATGAACTGTATGACCCTTATTCTGAACTAGAGACCTGGTACATGAAATTTGTGCACTCAGGGGGCGGTCCCTCAGCCCGGCCCACACCCTCTTGTAGTCCAGGAGCCCGCGGGGAACAGGCCTAAGCCATCAGTTAGACATCCTTAGCACTGCTGCAGAGGCAGGAGAGGCTCCCGCCACTGCTGCCATGCTCACCAGCCGTGAACCTGGTATCTGGCTGAGCGGCACTCCCCCTGTGGGAGTGCACTGACCACCAAGGGGCAGCTCCTACATTGAGGGGATTGGGGTAAAACTGGCTCTCCGACATTCCCCAAGGGGTCCCGGAATGCGAGAGGGTGCAGGCCAGGCTGAGGGACTCTACCTGAGCACAATCAGGGTCGGGGAGGGGTGTGGGAGGTTGGCCAGCCAGGGAGGGGCTGCAAGAGGGCTCCAGGGCGTGTTCGTCCAGTCTCACTCAATCCTGCTTGGCCGGACCCCAGCAGCAAGCTAACCTACCGGTCAGAGCGTCTGCCCCCTGGTGGTCAGTGCATGTGATAGCAACTGGTCGACAAGTCGACTCTCTGCCCCCTGGTGGTCAGTGCATGTCATAGCGAAATGTTGAACGACCTTAGCATATCATTAGCATATTACGCTTTGGTTGAATGCACGACCAGATGACCTGACACTTAGCATATTAGGCTTTTATTATATAGGATTCTTTTTTTGACATATTGTATGCCTTGGTTTCATTTAGTTCCTTTTCTGGTGATCCCTCCTTTCTTTCCTTTGGGGTTTGTTCTTTTGTCTCCCTATTTAGCTTTCATCAAAGGATCTAGGTGTCGAGTCGCATGGAGCCTGTGGCTGCAGTGGTGGGCTTGGTGGCAGGTCACGTGGTTGTGGGCAGCAGCAGCTCCTCAGACGGTTGCAGGGTGGCCACTTCTTACGTGTTCACAGGGCAGCCGCTCCTCACACGGTCACAGGCGTCAGCTGCTCCTCGTGTGGTCATGGGTGGTGGCTGCTCCTTGAGGAGTCGCGGGGCGGCTGCTCCTTGTGCAGTTGTGGGCAGCAGCTGCTCCACAGGCAATCGCGGGCGGTGGCTGCTCGCCCTGTTGCTGGAGTGGTCACAGAGCCCGGGGCTGCTGCGTAAGGCTCGGCTGTTCGTTCTCGCGTTCACACTGCCCAGGGCTAAAGCGTCTGGCTGATGGGAGGGGATTGCCCTCTGGAACTCACATGAGCCGTCAGCTGGGGAGGCTGGAGTCCTGGTGTCCATGGGTCGGCAGCCAAGGCAGCAGGTCCTTGGCCAGAGTGGCTGTAGGATCCCGGGTGGTGTCTGAGAGCACACTGGGTGGAGATGAGGCTGGGCTCCTGGTCACAGCAGCTCTCCCCCTTCAAGATGGTGCGGCCTCTGTGGCACTCCGGGAGCGATTACAGCAGTGGCAGAGGCTGCCTAGCTAGGTGAGCCCATCAGCCAGCCCCTGAGGGTCCTTGAGATCTAGCCCTTCCTCACTCAGACATACACACACACATGTCCACACACTCCCCTTTCACTCCCTCACACTCTCTCCCTCATTGCCATCCTCCTGGCTGCCATCTTGGAATCAAGTATTATTTTTTGAGACCTTAGTGCCTGACTCTTACTAAATATCAGCAAATGTTTGGGTGAATGGATTTATGTGGGTAAAATGGCATCCTCAGCTCAAAGGGGAGACAGTTTATAAATTCTAATTTAAAGAAAAAACAAGAACAGACTTCTTCTCATCCATCTGCATGGTCATGATTTGCAGAAAGCCTATGGAAGTCCCTGCCCAGCTATCTAAATCTGATTTCTCCCCTCTCTGCTGTAACAAAACAAGAGGCTAGTGCACTGGAGAGAACATAGGCTTTGGAATGAGACAGACCTGGGTCATTTCTTGGCACTGTCATGTTTTAAGCTGTAGGATCTTAGGTAACCCCTCTGAATCTCATTTTCACATCTATAAAATGTAGGCCACAGTACCTACCTCACAGCATCATTCTGAAGAATAATGTGAAACTTTTAGGAAGATATTTAACATATTGTAGGCCATCAGAAAATAGTAGCTGCTGATATTATTTTGAACTAGAGGCCCAGTGCACGAATTCATGCACAGGTGGGGTCCAGCCGGCCTGACCCCAATCGGGGTGGATTGGGGCTGAGCCTGCTGAGAGGAGGAGACCGCAGGAGGTTGGCCGGCTGGCCCACCCTGATTGGGGCCCAATCAGGGCCAGACTGCTGGGGGCGATCAGGGGAGGGGCCTGCTGGGGGGAGGATCTTCAGGAGTTTGGCCAGTCAGCCCCACCCCCTTTTGGGGTGGGGGTGCTAATGGGGCGGGGCCGACTGGGGTGGAGGGCTACAGGTCAATCAGGGTGGGGCAGGCCGATTGGAGGTGGGGCCAGCCTGGGGGAAGGACCAAGGGGAGGTTGAATGGCTGCCCCACCCTCGATCAGGGTGGGAGAGTCCAATCAGGGGCAGGGCCGGCTGGGGGGAGGGACCAAGGGAGGTTGGATGGATCCCCCCCCCCGCCCCCCCCATCGGGCCTGTTCGCTGGCTGCAGTGGGTGTTATAGCAACTGGTTGTTCCAGTTGTTCCGGCATTCCGGTTGCTCGCTTTTTATATATATAGATAGTCTTCAGGTTTTCACATTTGGATCTGAGGGCTGGATATGAAGCCCAGTGTCCAGGGTGCTGGAGGTGGGGGCCCTTTCTTGGGTGGGATGGGACCCATGGCTAATGGGTGGGCTTTTTGAGGTCTATTTGTCTATGGACTCTATGTTGGATTTCCTAGCATAAGACTCCATACCTGGGACATGTGTGTGCCCAACTTGTTTTCTCTTTCCTTTTTTGTAGGCTCCCGGGCCAGTGCCAGTACTTGGGCTTGCCAGTGGCAGATTACTTCAAGCAGTGGATTAATCTGAAAAAGGTACTGTGTCTGAGCCCCACTTGGGTGCTTCGCCAGGTTCTCCTGTGCCTCAGATCTCCCCTCCCTTGCTTGCTTTTCTCATTTCTGTTTTTTTCTTTTTGTTGTTCTCACCTTTCCTTTTCTTTCTGTTCTTCTCTTTTCTCAACATCCCTGTTTCCTCTTCTCCAGCTAATGAGCCTTGGAAGGTTGTGGTTATTTCTGGAAGTGGGGAGCTGCTTGTGGGGTCCAGGCTGCTGAGTGGAGTATGACACTTCCCTATTTGGTATCACCCAGATGTGCAGAGAAGTTCCAGTAAGGGGGTTTTCCAGGTTCTTGCCAGAGCTGAATCTCTGGGCTGAACTGCGTTATTGCCAGGAGAGATGCAGTACTAACTGAATCTCTGGGCTGAACTGAGTTATTGCCAGGAGAGATGCAGTACTAACTGAATCTCTGGGAAAGTCTCCTCTTTAGTGTGATTGTGAGTGTGGCCTCTGACCCTTCTGACTGGCCCTGGTATCTTCCTCTGGTTGGCAGGTAGCGTTGGTTCAGGCTGGCTTTGGTCCTGCCTAGCCACAGCAGAGCCTTGCTCACATGAGAAGGGCCATGGAAACTACAGCCCAGTTCCCGACGAGCACCAAGCACCTGGGGAGAGGGCTGAGGCTGTGGGCTGGGAGGTGGGCCGTGGCAGATAATGGATCCTCATAAAACTCTTCTTTCCTAGTGTGTGCTGTACCTCCTAGGTAAACGGAAGAAAGGAGGCGTAGGAATAGACTCCCTAGATCCCTGCTCTAGTGGATCCTTGCTCCTAGAGTGCACTAGGGAGGCTCATCCCCATAAATCCTTCTAAAGTAAGATCAGCAGCCCTGGGAAGCCTCAGGAACCCCATGCCACCAGTCAGCAATGACTCCCAGGAAGCTTGGAGAAGGGAAAACACACCAGCGGTCAGAGTAGTGGCTGCCAGGGGGTTCAGAGAAGAGAGGTTATTGGAGGTCAGGCTGGGATCCTAAGGATTTGGGTCTTGAACTGGGCATATTCAAGGGAGATGCAATATGAATCTGAGGAGGAGAGGCTTTCTAGGCAGAGGAAGTAGTGTGCTTTTGGTGTGTGGGGGTGGGGCTAGAGGTAAGTGAGCATGGGCAGGAGCAGTGAGAGAGAATGACCTTGGACTTTGTTCCATAGGTCTCAGGGCAGCCATTATTTGTGGCAACATTTGTGAACTCTTTTGCTTTTCCATGGTACAGAGGCCTCTGCCCTCTGCATTGTTTGTACTTTGACCCCTACCCATCTTTCCTGACACACATAGCCCCCCCACCGTGTCATGCACCCAAACAACAGCTGCTTACTACCTGCCATCTTTGGCTGTGGAAGCCAGGCGCTGTGCTACCTTCGGCTCTTGGCCTGCAACCTTACTTCTCTGTGAAATGCCCCCTAGTCATCTTCATCGGGTATTTTCCCTCTCCTTAAAGATTCAGCTCAGGTATCACCTCTGCAGTCAGTCTCTTGCCTTGAGGCTCCGTAACACTTTGGATCTTAGAGTGGTGAAACGGAGTCGGTGTGTGTGTTTCCTTACGGCCATGTCTATTTGGAGCACAGAGACTGAATCTGGTTCCTTTCTGTGTCCCCAGTGGCCAGATCAGGGCTAGGTACAGAGTATGTGCTCAGAATGATTGCTGGCTGTCTGGCTGGTCTTTGAGAGCTGGCTCCATAGAGGCCCTCTTACTCAGGATTTGACAGAGTTGCACGTGTGGGCGTGGTTAGGCCTGCGCTCCTAGAAGACAGCATGCCAGCTGTCAGAGTGCATTTGAGGCTGCTTGCTGGCCTTGGCAAATGCAATGTGAAGGCCCGGCCAGGCGAAGCAGGCGCTGACCATGAACAATTGTTCTGTGAAGTTCACTAGACTTTTTGGTATATGGATCGCTCCCTGCCTCTAGGTTCCTTGGCAGAAAGGCAGAAAAGCAGCCGAACCGTGTGGTAACTCATGGCTACCTTGATGCTGCTGCAGGTGGAAGTGGGCTGCCGTAGCCTGTTCAGCTTGGTTCTCTGCCAGACTGTGCTGAACCATAGAGGGGGAATGGGCACAAGGGGAAACTGAGGACCCTAATCCCAGTTGGCCTTGTGATGGCCCCTTGGGAGGTAAACTTAGCAAGTCTGAGAAAAAATAAGAGGTCTAACCCCTTCCTTCCTGCCCTCTAGCCACCTCATGTTGCAGCTTTGCTTGAAGGTCCAGCAGGAGAGATGTCTTAATTCCAGACTTTGGTTCAGTCCTTGCCAGCAGCCATTCAAATAGGGAGGCTACAGGGCCCTGGAGGTCCAGGGGCATGGTGATCTTTCTGTTGTTTATACTGTATGACTTAGTGCAGGCTACAAAGATACCTACTCCCTTAAAAAGAGTAACAATAAAAGCAAAACCAGAGAGATCATTGCCAAGGTTGTGGGAGTATCATGCAAAGGCTTACTCTATGCCTTCTTTCCCCATATGTGACCCACACTCTGACTATCTACAGCAGTGATGGCGAACCTATTGAGCTCGGCGTGTCAGCATTTTGAAAAACCCTAACTTAACTCTGGTGCCATGTCACATATAGAAATTTTTTGATATTTGCAACCATAGTAAAACAAAGACTTATATTTTTGATATTTATTTTATATATTTAAATGCCATTTAACAAAGAAAAATCAACCAAAAAAATGAGTTTGTGTGTCACCTCTGTCACGCGTGTCATAGGTTCGCCATCACTGATCTACAGGATCCTCTCCTGTCCTTGATCTTACTTGGTCTCTCCTTCCTTTCCTTCTCTTCTCAACTCCCCTACAGAGCTTTTCCCCATTAAAAAAGTGGGGAGGGTTCTGGTCTGCTTGGCCACCTAGATCTGCCTAGTAAGTAAGCAACTGCGAGTGAATTCACCATTCCCATTTCCTAAGGCCTCTAATCTGAGGAAAGGCAAAATGTTGTTTTTCAGCCGCCCTCTCCTGTCCAGAAACGGTGCGGGTTGCATCAGGGAAAAGCAGCTTTTAATGACCAGATTTCCACATCTCCCGCCTCCACCTACTTCCCCTGTAGCACAGTGGAGCAAGCCAATGTTTGCTGACATTTGGAGTGTCATTGAATGATCTTATACTCTTATTGAACTGTCAGCTTAGAGAGGACTTGGGGCCCTGCTCTCAGCTCCCTCCAGGAGATCAGAGCTTCACTGAGGGGCCAGAAGAATACATACACACATACACACACACACACACACACACACACACACACGCCCATGTATAGTCATGTGAACGCATACACACAAGTGGGCATACCCAAAATTGCTAATAGGTACACATACAGGCATAATACATATTCACATAGTCACCTGTGGAAATATACAGACATAAATGTGTTTATATAAACATAATCATAGGGTGTAAAGACACATGAATAAAAAGAAACATACACATCTTCATCAATAAACATATCCTTGAGTGCCTTCTGTGTTCCAGATACTGAACTGGGCCCAGGAGATATAACAGAAAAGATGGATGTTAAATAATTTTAATTGTACTATAACAATACAATTGTTAAAAATTTCAGAGTCATGGGGACTCAACCTATGGGGTTGGAGAATGGTTCCCTGAGGGGTGGCTAAGCTGAGATCTGAAGGATGAGCAGGAATTGGCTAAGGTTGTGGCAAGGCCCTGTGGTGAGAAGAAGCCTGGCAGCTTCATGGAGCTAGAATGTAAGTTCCATGAGAGCAGAGAATTTTTGCCTCTTTTGTTCACTATTCTGGCCCCATCACTAATCATTATTTGTTGAATGAATGACTGCCTGAAGCATAGTCGATGTGGGGAAGTGAGGAGGGTGGCATGAGGTGAAACTGGAGGGGGAGCTTATAGGCCACACTTTAGACTTTGATCTTTGTCCGTGGGGCAAGAGGAAGCTAGTAAAGGGCACTAAGCATAGAAGAGGCTTCAAAGGAGCGAGAAAGGGCAGGAGCTATGGTAGGGCAAGTGTGGGGTTGAGGCAGGTTTTGTGGTTTAAGATGGAAGACATATGTGCTTGTTTGTAGGCACTATTAGAGAAGGAAGGGTTGAAAATATAGGAGTAAGAGAGGTCTCTGAGAAGGTGAAAGGAGATAGGATGGGAAGCCCAGTTTCTTGAAATTGGCTGTCTTCAAGAGGAAGGTCCCTCTTCCATTGTGATGGGGGAAGAAGAAGATAGCTGCACATAGATGCAGGCAGGCTTGTGGATTTGATGATGGCAAGTTGAAGTAGTTCCCATCTAATAGCATTTTCTCTGTGAAGTAGATGAGCCATTTGCTGGTAACTAATAGGGGAGAGATGGGAAGGTTTGGAGAAAGTGGAAAAAAATTGCTATATTTTAGTAAATAGAAGTATGAGCTGACTTGAGAAGTATAGTAAGATTTTAGGCAGTGCTCAGGGCTCAGTTGGGGCTGATGACATTAATTTATAGTGGAACTACTGTGTTCAGTGGCATTACTTATTTAGCAGAGCTCAGCTGCCTGGCTATGGGCATGCAGAAGACAGACATTTTAGCCTGGTTGGTGTTGCTCAGTGGTTGAGCGTCGCGGAACCAAGAGGTTGCCCGATCAAGGCACATGCTCAGGTTGCAGGCTTGATCCTAGGGGTGGGGCTGGTGGGGCGGGGCGGGGGGGGGAGCGCTGAGAGGTGAGGGGGGGAGCATGCAGGAAGCAGCCGATTAATGATGTTTCTCTCTTATCAATGTTTCTGTCTTTCTATCCCTCTCCCTTCTTCTCTCTCTAAAAATCAATAAAAATGTATTTTTAAAAAGAAGACAGACATTTAGAGTCATCTAGGGTGGAGATTTTCCCATGAAGTGTGATGAAAGGAACAAAGGAGTTGAAGATATTGTCAAGACAGTGGTTGCCAAAATGGACTATGAGATCTAAAGTGGATATTGAGGGAAGTGAAGATAGCAAGGGGCCTGATGGAAAAAGCAGATAGGTCCTAGTAAGATGAGGAGCAGTTATATCAGGTATAGCTGAATGTGCCAGATGGGAGGATAA